TCATTTACTACCAAAAATAAAATTAATAGTTTTTAAATAGTTTTTTTATAGTTTTTTAATAGTTTTTTAATAGTACTACGTTTTAGTTACAAATCATTTGTATTAGAAAAAGAAAAGGGCTATTTTTAGGGTTTTTCCAGCAATAATTCTAATTTTCCTCGCCGTAAAAACCATCCTTCAACTTCAACGAACATTTGAAAAAAAGATTTGGCCAAATTGGTCCAGGCGTTGTTGAGTTATGCGCTTACCAACACATTTTGCGATTCATTTTTATATTATAGATATATATATTATATATATTATATATATTTATATTATTATATTTTACATAATTTAAATGCATTTATATAGACTATTTAAGTATCTTCTTCTCCTTCACTTTTCTTCCAACTATTTGGGGTCAGTCACACTTGTCCTAAATCTCCATTCATCTCCATTTTCTACATCCTCTACGTACACATCAAAGGCACCATGTCATTTTCAGTCGTAATTAATCATCTCTTTTTTGGTTTTCCTTTCCTTCTTTTCCTTTTAACGCTTATTTTTATAATCACTTTTACTTCTTTTGTTTCCTCTCACCTCATAGCATACCCAAACTATCTCAATCTATTTTTTCTCATCGTGTCCCATATCGACACTACACCAATACTACCTCCAGTGGCGTATATAGGTTTTCATTTCGGAGGGGGTCGATTATGTATTTGATTTTTGGGTGGAAGGGAAGGAGGAAGCACACTATTACAAAAAAAAATTATTTAAGAAAAAAAACACTATAAGACTTCTCGACTGTCTCACCATGAGAGAAATAAGAAACTCATTTTTTTTTAATGATTTATTATTATTTAAAAGCATAAAAACTACATTTTAATAAAAAAATTTTTTATTAGTGTCACTAAAAATTCACCACATTTTTTCTTAAAACATGTTTTATAAATATAAAATTTTAAATTATCGCATAAGCAACATTCTCAGTGTCGCGACAAATTTTCGGAAACCCCCAGCATCAAGATAAATCCATGTTAAAAATAACAATCTTTAACAATGGTGTTTTTTATTTCGGAGGGGGCTCGGGCGCCCTCGGTCTCCCCCATAAATACGCCCCTGACTACCTCTAACATATTTGTTCCTTACTATATTTTCTCTTGTCACTTCACTCATCCATACAAGCATTCTCATTTCCGCAACACTCATACTATGTTCTATTCTCTTGTTAACCGCCCAACATTATGAATCATAAAGCATAGTTAATCTCACTACATTCCTGTAAAATTTACCTTTAAGTCTCATTGGAATTTTCTTATTCTATAAAACGCCTGACGCTTATTTCTCCATTTCATCCAACCGCACTTAATCGTATGTTTTATACCTATGAAAAAACCCCCGTCCTATTAAACAAATTATCCTAAATATATAAAGTTCTCAACTTCACCTATCACATGATCGCTTATTATCATTGGTCTCCCATACCTTCAACTTCTTGTTATCTTTCTCCAATATGTCTGTAATATACCCGTATGTCTTTTGGAACTTTATCCATTACCACAGAGAACAAAAAAAAGCTTAAAACTGACCCTTGATGCATACCAAATCCCTCGTTAAAATCTTCTGTTACTCCATACAAATCTTTGAACTAGTTCTCAAGCCTATATATATTTCCTGAATCAAATTTATATATATTTTTGGACTGATTTTATATATCATTTAAATATAATATATAAATTATAGTGCATTTATGTATTTATTTTACAATTCATAATTTAATGATTTATGTGGGTATACTTTTGTTGAATATTTGTGGTAAAACACATTGTTATAGAACTAACAGCAACTATACCATAAAATGCATGTGTGTAAATTTCAATTTCTAAGTAGGAAATTACACACGAGCACAAATTAAATATAAGAATATACTATACTGTTTAAAAGTACATTTTTTTCAATATAAAATATACATCAATAGTTATTAAGTAAATTAATTTTATTTATCAAAACATATTATATACAAAAATATTTTATTTTACTCTACATTAAACAAAATAATATAAATCACAATAAAATCAAACAATTTATCACAGAGATGCATGGATCATAAATAGCCAAAAATAAAACATAAACCAATGAATGTGTAAAGTTAAATCTGTTCAAGAATATTTCTCCTACTTATTTAATATGTAAAAAATCACTATATACTATAAGAAATAACAGATTTAACATGTATAAAAAAAAATACATAAAATATAATCAAAAAAAAAAAAAAAAAATTACAAGGGAAAAATACACAGAAATGAGATTTTTATAGAATATAACATTAAATTTATAATAATATACAAATATAAAACATATCAATATGTTCATACAGAATAATAAAAATAATAAAATAAAATCTTTATAAACTACAACTAAAGAAATAATAATTAACATCTCAATAATAGTGTTATTTTTTAAATTATTATACACAAATATTTCAACTTTTGAACATCACATAAATACAATTAAAATAATTATTTTAAGAGTAATAAAACAGCAAATATTAAACTAAGTTAGTTTTTCTTATTAATGATGAAAAAAAATAATTGTTGACAGTTATATTGTTATATTCCTTATTAACAAGGGTATCATACTACATTTCCAGTTGCAAAATACGGTCTCTATCATAAAATTACAGTATCAAGACCTAAAACACTTATATCTGCTTTTTGTAGGTTACAATTTTCTGTGACCATTTAGCATTTTTTAACAAAATGTATTTCAAATTATTTATTTAAAATGTTTAAAAGTATTTTAAAAGATATTTGTTAGAAAAATTGGTATTTTAAAATGTTTTTATTACCATGCTCACATTTAACAAATTAGTTCAAATAATAGGTAAAATATTAAACAATTTTTTGAGTTAAAAGCTAAATTTTAAAATTAACTAGAAAAAAAATATTTTATCAACTCTAAGATTGACCAAAATTATTTTTAATTATAACACAAGTATACATTGGAAATATATATAAATATATATAAAAGACTTGAACATTCAAATCTTTTATTATTTTTGTCATTTATTCAACACAATATTTCCTACAGTTTTTACTAGTCTACCTAATACATTTTTTCTTTTAGGTAAAATATTATTATTCAACTCTTCAATAGATCTGTTAACTGGTTTGTTTTGTGATGAAACAATTTTAGTACAACTATTTATTGGTTCCACAATTTTCAGCTTCTGACCATTATCAATCAATACACTATGATAACAAAATAATTATTATTAAATTAAAATAAAGGTAGAATAAAATATATTACCTGTTGGTCAATGCTTTGCAATGATTTGATGATACAGTAATTTTAAGTCTATTCCATGGATCATAGGAAGAATTAGATTCATTAAAAAATAATTTAACATAGCATTTGAGTTCTTGAGGTAAACTACAATCTCCAAAAATACATGGGATAATTTTAGAACGATTTTGTTCTGAAATAAGTTATACAACGTATTACTTTAAAATCTTAGTAATATAACATTATTTTGTCAGCATAAAATTCCTTACCAATACCCAGAGACTGTATACATTTCATTATAGATAGATTCTTAGGATCATTTGAGAAATTATTTGATACAATAACAATCAACCAATCACAACGATCAGATATCAATTTTATTACTGATTGATACTCAAATTCAACACCAGGTTTTAAATTTCTATCTTTGTAACATAACTAAAATAAATTAATATACTTTAATTTAGTAACAAATTTTAAAATATCTTGTATATTCAATAAATTATTACAACACAAAATTAATATTTTTAATTAATAAAAAATGAATTTAAAAAGTTTTTAAATTGCTCAAAATAATACAAGTACTATTTATATTTAAATAATTATACTTAATATCAAGAAATACTACTAAAGATAGAAGTTTGCATTAAATTGTTTAAATAACAATTAGATTGCATTCCATTTTATATGTTACAATTCAGAATTGAATTTATTGCTAAGGCGCTATATGAGTAATATGACTAATTCATGATAAAATGTAATTATAATATATAAAAGCTAAAATTTAGTATTTTTAGATGATGCATAAGTATGGTAAAGCTATATAAGATTTCATTTACATATTCTAAAAATCAGTTAATTACTTCCTTAAAATATATTTTCAATTGTTTATTTCTTATATAATAAGTATAAGATTATTCATATTTAATTTTAATATTACCTTTATTGAGTATTCATTTTCTAATTTTTGTGCCATAAATATAGCATGTTTAAGATCAGCATCATCATATAGTATATAAGCATCATATCTTGGAAGAGGAAGTTGATTTTTTAACGCATCAACGTCTTCTAAAATAATTAAAATGTCTATAGTATATTATTCAATATTTGTACATTTTAAATAAAATTTACCAATGGTAATAATATTATTATTCCCCACATCATTATGTTTTACTGGAGTTATGTGTGCTACAGAGAATTTTTGTTCTTTAAAAAAAATGATATCAGATGCTAACAAAAAAAAAAAACTTCATATTAAAAATACAGTTTTAATATTAACATATATTTATGTAGATTTTTACTTAATTAAAACTTACTTATAAGTTCTACTGTCTCATCAATAACGTCGTATCTGTCTATTTTTTCCAGACATTGTATAAAGAATGCAATAGTAGTTTCTTGGCAATACTTTAATATTTTACCCATTGGATCATCTGAATTACATCCCAAAGGTATTGTATAGCCCAAAAGAGAAGTCAAACCAGTCCAATCTCTACAATTTAAATCAAATAAACAAATAAAATATTTTTTTAAAAAATGAAATAGCTTACTCTGCTAACACAATGGAGCAAGTTTTTTATAACAATATAAACAATTTAACTTGAATTTTAAACAAACAAATATGTAACGTATAATGTAGTTTTATATTTCCTTATGGCTTACACGTAGCTATTGCCTCGAAGAAAATCTTTAAAGATGTATATTTTAACATAGTTAATAAAGATATTCAATGAAAGAGTTTAATACGAACAATATCATAGAATAATCAATTATACATTCATTGACAATCAAACTATATTAGCGGGAGACAAGACAGGTGATTGTACAGACGTCAGGTTGTGGTTTGAAAGAATATTAATGGTACGATATATGTCAATAAAGTACAATACTGCATCTTGGGCAGCTACATCAGGATAACATGATGATAGTCCTCACTGTGTTCACTTACCTAGGTCTATTGTCAGGGGACGGCAAAACTTTTCTAGTATTCAACATGCACGACAACCGTTCCCTGGTCGGTAGCCGTAACAAGGATAATGTCATATGCTCAAATTCCGGAAGCATCACGCTCATCTTTTCGGAGTTCGGGTCGGATACACGACGAGTTCACAAGAATAAAATGTTCGCGCAAGAATAATAAATAATTATAAAACTATTGCGAACGCAAATTTACAAAACATACAAATGGATTACCCCGTAGTGACCATTAAATTCGTTATCAACGATGTCCACAATAAGCAAAACGTAGACCATCGAAACTACAAAGCACACTGGCCGATTTATGAGTATACGTATAGACAGTTATAGTAATTTAAATATACGCGGAGCACCAAAGTCCGTCCTAATAACATTCCCATTGATTATAAACGGGTTATTCCGTCGCAATCTACAAGTGTCAACATTTAGTGACGTCATCGCAGTTTATTTTAGTCATTGGTTTGCGCGCGCAATTTCACTTTTCATTTATTTGCCTGCAGCGGTTGATCTCGATATAACCAATACAGTGTTCTGCGTCAACACATTGAAAATTCAGTACCGTCAGTTTTTCTATACTTCTACTACTTTTCAAACAATTATGCTTGACGATCGCATGGTAACCTGTACAAGTCTAATTGTCTGTATAAAAATCTATTAAAGTTCAGACTAAGAGCGCTAAATCTTAAAGATACCTGATTACATTTTAAGACTACTGCCACTTAAAAGATTAATAATAATTTATAATTAAAACTCGAGTTTTTATGCAAAATGCATCTCTTTTGAATGATCTTAGATAATGATTTCCAAGTACATAATTTATTTGATATAACAGAAACTTCAAAGATGAAACTTATTTTGCATTTTTCAATATTTTCTTATAATAAGATTATTTTTTAATGTACGTTTATACTATGTCCGAATATATTACATAGTATTTTTACGTATTACAAATTCCAACTGTAGAGAAAATTATTTTAAAAGCACCTTTTAGAATTTTAAAGTTGAAATTTATAGACTCAACTATTCCTTTACCACTTAAACTAATACTAATACGTTGGGCACTTGGATATAAGTGAATATTTTCAGTTCATTAAAACAGCAATTGATGGATTTGAAAAAAACAAGTCTATAGCTATCAAAAAAGCAAAACATTTAATAGCAGTTAAAGAAACTAAATCAAATTTAATTTATAAAAGCTAACCATAAAAATAAACCATGCTGTATTGTGTATAACTTTTAAAGGTGTACCTTTAGTTGAGGTAATTGGTTTCGTAAATTATGCCAAAACTTGTATTTCAAATAATACAAGTAATTATGGATAAGCAATAAAGAAAAAATTAAATAATTTCTCCCCCTGGAAAATGTCAAAAATCTTAGAAAATTGTTTATTATGATCAGAATATATTTATTTAAATATAATTTAAAAATTTAATTTAATATATGAAAATCTATAATTTGTTTATGAAAAATCTATTTATTTAGTTTGGAAAATTAGGTTATATAGCTATAAATAACAATACATTTTTTTGTTTTTTTTCTATGGATAATTATCAATTCTCAAAATATTGTGTACTTCCAGAAATACGGTACCTATGTATATGTGTGTGTGTACACCACCATAATATTTATATAATATTTGTAAATTAATATTTTAATAAATATAACTAATGTTTTAAGTGTCCAATTTATATTATTAATTAAATAAAAATTTCAATAAATTACTTTTATGGTAAATTGGTTAAATAATTATTATTTTAAAGTCTTCCAGTTTGATATGTATAATGTAATAGTATAATATAAAATTGTAAACCCCTTCCTTTATCATGGGTCATTCCTATTTATGAATAGGTTGATTGATAAATTAAAATATTGTCCCCCTTAAGAATTTTCCTATGGGCACCCTTATAAGTATACATAATATTAATTGACACAATTCTGCATTCAATTAAGTTTTTGAAATCATCATTAATGTCTTTCGGATTTAAATAAATAGCCATTTATTGCTCTACAGTAAAAACATAAGCTACTTAATCTCTTTCAAAGCATAGTACCTACTTGTGGGAAAAATATAAATTTAAGTCATTATACATACATCTTGATTTCGTTAATAGGTACATTAAATCGTTATTAAATTAGTATAAAATTTGTGTTTCAAAAATAAATATAAATATCTGGGACTGAATATAAAAATATATTAATAATTATAGTGAATACAAAATCATATAATATGAATGTAAAGACCAAATATGTTATACTTTTCATTTATTTGGTATTTTTAAAAACAAGGCTTTGTGTTCAGGGTATGCAGCTGCATACCTTGCGAACGGTCAATACCATTGACACCAGTGGCGGTCAAATGATTTTGTCATGGGGGGGGGGGTGTAGCTGATTTTTTAAAAAAACACTATATATAAAAATCTTTATTTTTAAACATGGAAATTATATTATATTATATTATATTATAATGATATTTATATTATTAAATCTATTTTTTTGGTTTTTTTTGCCAATTCGTCCAGTACTTCGTCTACAATTATATTGACAACCTCACGATGAATAACCATTGAGACGACTCCAAAATAATATAATTACATAATTCATATAATAATATAATATATTATGTTAAGCATTAAGTACTAAATTTAAATTTCATACATTCTTATAATGTAACTATAAAGGAAATGAAAAAAATCTAAAAAGTTTGTTTCAATTAATATTTTAGTGTTTTATGTTTGAACTGTTAATTTTATTCGAGCCTAGAGACTGTATAATAACTAATAAGTTCAGTATATTTATTTTTTTAAATAGAAAATAGATGAATACCTATATTATATTATGTATAATATGGATGAATTATAAATATTTAAAAAAAGGTCATGGAGGAGGATCTATCCCCCCCTCTGTTTGACCACCACTGAATGACACGTCGTAAGTCACAAGTTCAATTTTCAGTTTTTTTTTTTCAATATAATAAAAATTATCAATTATTTTATAATTTACCGGTATTAATTAGTCTAATAAAACAATACATTTAAAACTTTTACATTTTACATTTTCACGATAAAATACCGTTTTAAGGGCATTTTTAGCTGTTTTTTAGTACATTTTTCTTAGATTTTTAATACATTTAAATCCGGATCCTAGTTATAATGCTAATAACAATAATAAATCTTTAATCGTGCAAATCATGCAAAGATAAATGCTAAGCTCGAAATTTAAAATTAAACTTATGAAATTGTACATATTTAATACTATTATTTAATTTATAGGATATTTAAAAATAATTGTTTTCGTTGTAACTGTCGTCATGACAAACATTGAAGCGACGTTTGATCAATTCATATTTAATACATGAGTATATTATTGCAATAAAAATCAGTTTTACTCGATTCAGTTTTGTTAATTGTCATCGGTTTTGATTGAATAATTGTTTGTGCGCATTAATCATGTTATGGGGTGCAAGTCCATGTTTAGATCTAGGTAATTATGGAGTAGGTGATGGCCATATAAAAATATTAATCATAAGTTCTGGGGATACACGCCACTTACTGCAAACACTGGCCAAACGGTATACACATTCATACTCAAAAATCGACATCTATATTTACGAACCAGTAGTTGAGATGTACGCCAGATACATATTGCAAATAGCGTTGGCTCTTGAACCAATCGATCGTATCAGCTTATCATATAAAGTAACTATTTTATACATTTTTTTTATTGTTCATTAAATATAGAAATTGCCAATAAGTAGTTTCATAGTTTAGAACGTCAGTAGTTTTTAGAAGTTAAAAAAATATTTAGTAATCGAATATTTGTTGACAAAATAGTGTAGACATTAATTTTTATATCTAATTAAACAACATTTGTATGATATTCTTTATTGATTAATTATAAAAAAATAAACCAGATAAAGTAATTAATTTAAAAATCATCCCAATACTTCAATATTAATTTTACGTTTATTATAAAAGATCTAAAATAGTTAAATAATTTTACTATAACATACATTTTTTAATTAAAATCATTAATTAAACACTATAATTGTATTACTTAACTGTTAATATTTTTTTTTTAAATAAAATAAAATACGTATGCTAGAAAATATATGTGAGCTTATCATAAAATACATTAGAATTTAATTTGCAGGTACGTACTTGGATGGAACTTTATGGTAATACACTTGTCAAACCAAATACCAACAATTATCTTATTAAAAAATCAGCTCAACTAATTGATATTATAACTGATGAATCAATCAGACAAAAATGTATGCCTGTTGTTAATTTTAATGCTCTTAAATACAAAGATAAAGATTTAATTGAAAATATATTTAAATATTGGAAAAACAATAATGGTTTCAACATATCTAAAATGTGGAACATGCGATTACGAAACTATTTGGGTACAAGGTATGATTATCGAAATAATTTGTTTGACTGGGATTTACACATGAATCTCCATCATATTGATGGAGGGAAAAGGATTACAAATCAAGAATACATATATTGGCGAAACACTGGTGTAGCTTACACATTTTTGGAGACAGATTGCACTGAACCTAATTATACATTTGCTTTAGCTTTATTGAATAATGGTGATAAAATAATGGCAATGGACTATTTTGGAGATATTATAAACGGTCCTTTTCCATCTTTTGGTTTACATTGTGAAGACAAGGATATGTTAAAAATAGGCAACATGCAACCACTTAAACGTTCTGTAGATTTGACGGAGAGAAACTTAACAAGGATGTTCTATGAAATTGAAAATCAAAAGCCTTATGAACACAAAGGCAAAGCTGACAACCTAGGACTTATTATTACTGAATTGCCTAATATAGAAATCAAAGAATTACAAACTTCAACTCAATTTAAAATTAAAACTGAACATTATTCTAGTATTAATGTGAATAATGTGGAAATTAACTTTATTACTCGAACAGCTTTAAATTATCCAGTACATGAAAGATATAAAAACTGTTTTGATGTAATGTATTGCGGTCATTCATTTTTTGAAAAAATGAATCCCAACATAGTATCAATGATTAAAGAAAAAGGTATACTATTAATGGAAACTCGAAAATTTATTGTGAACTATAAAGAAAAACAGCACAATGAATTCAAACAAAAATTAATAAATTTTATAAAAGACTGTAATTGTGAACCATTAGAAGAGATTGATGTTATTAAAAACGCTGTAATTAAGTTTAATGTACGACATAATGTAATATAATAGTTTATTTTTAACAACTGTTATAATTTAGTTAACTTCTGAAACTATAAATTCATAAGATACATGATGATACCAAAGTTTAGACAAATATTTAATTTTCAATACTTGGAAAATACTAAATTATAATACTATCATCTTCATTGTGTAATAGCTTTTGGTTCTTCCTTGCTGGTCACCCCAGAAAGAAGATTCTTGATCCGTGCAATAGCTCTACCAGGATTTAAACCCTATAACATTAATTTTTATAATTATTAATCAAAATAAATAAATTAAAATAACGAATATTTTACATACTTTTGGACATGTTCTAGTACAGTTCATAATTGTGTGACAACGAAACACAGAGAATGGATCCCTCATTTTATCCAAACGTTCAGCTGTAGCATTATCTCTTGAGTCAATGATCCAACGGTAAGCCTAAAATTCATAAAAAAAAAAAAAATATTAATCTAAACTATTTACATTTTAAATAATTATTAAATCAAGAAAACAATTTGAATTATATAATTTACATAAGAATATGAATATATTCCTTACAATGTATTTTAAATGCATTTGATTATTTTTGCATATATATTTAACACCTATGTTGTATAGTATTTAAATTAATAAAACCTTATCTAATATTCATCCAATATGATATTTATAGAGAGAAATATAAATATATTAAATTGAGTACATGGATAACTTGCATTATGTTTTAATAATAAATAAATTACCCGAAAGCAGTAATCACAATTGTGTACAAATAGTTAAAGTCACAGTTTGAAACAATTTATACCTGCATAAGTACGGCAGGGCCCAAGTATTTTTCAGAATTCCACCAGTAGGAAGGGCATGAAGTAGAACAGCATGCACATAGAATACATTCATATAAGCCATCCTAGAATGGTTAAAAAAATAATAGATTTAATCTATGCTTTTAAAACCTTTAAAATATCTATAATCAGTAATTTACAAGTTTCTCTCTATCGTATGTATGTTGCAAATGTTCTTTGTTATTGGCAGGCGTTACATTAGTATGTAACCATGGTTCAATAGAAGCATATTGTTTGTAGAATAACTTCATATCTGGTACCAAATCCTTAACGACATACATATGTGGTAATGGGTATATTTTTAATGGTTTTGACAAATCTGTATTTACACCACTATATAAAATGGTAAAAGTTAGAAATTACAATATACAATTTAATAAGAAAATTAGTTATTAAATATTGAATACTAACCTAATACATGCCAATGTATTAACTCCACCAATGTTCATAGCACAAGAACCACAAATACCTTCACGGCAAGAACGTCTGAATGTTAATGTAGAATCTTCAGAGTTTTTTATTTTAATCAATACATCTAACACCATAGGGCCACATCTAAGTATATAAGTATAAAAACAATTAAATGTTATTTCAGTACTAAACATTATTAAGGCAGAGTACTTACGTGTTCAGATCAACTTTGTATTCTTGCATTTTCGGCTTGATTTCTGGAGTTTCTGGATTCCATCTGTATACTTGAACAGATTTGATTTTCGGGGTTTTGTCCTGAGCAACATCGCTTGTTGCTAAAACTGTTGAAATGTGGAGCTGCTTTACTTGCTGTAAGTTAAATTTAAATTAAGGTTATTGTTAAATTGCACAATATTACACAACTATAGCAATATTTATTTCAGCAACCTGTGTGAAGGGTTGTTTTAGCAAACGTATAGCCGACATCTCTGCTAAACCTAAGCCAGCCATAATATTTAAATAATACAAAGGAAATACAAATTATGCAACCAAAATAACGTATTTAAAATTTCAGAATGTGAATTAATACTGTGAAAACGATAATGTACTATTAGAAGTTAAGATTATGTTAAGGCTGATCGGAATTCAGATGTTTTGGATAAATACGAACATATGATTATAAATTGATAACCATTGTCATACAAATCCAGTGCCGCCATGTTTCACTTGTTTAGATTTCTTCTTTTTTTTTTTTAATTATTATATTTTAATAAACTATATATAAATAAAATTCATTATACGGTTCGAAAATTCTTTATTGATTAATTTTATAACACTTATTAAATCAGGATACATTTCTTATGATTTAAAAATAGTTAAATTAAATATTTAGACATTTATATATCAAGACTAAAGAATACCCTGATAACCATTATCATGATACATATATCATAAAGTTAACTGATGGCCTTGGATCATTTTTTTACTCCTTTGGAGTATGCCTTGGCTAAATCATTATTATATTCTGTGGCTAAACGATTGGCTTTTAGCTCAAAATTTTTTTTTTAGAATCCATGAAGTCATGGCTTTTGAAACTATGAGAACAATAAAGTAGGAGAGTCCAGTTCAATTTAACGAAAATTTCATTAATTTACAGTTCACCGAAATGAATAGTTCAAATGAACGACTATCTTCTGCTCCATAAACGACACTCACTTTTTCTTTTTGATCTCTGTATAAGTTATCAATTTACAAGAATATTTCTGTATGTTGAGGTGCATATGTATTAAACTTGAAACACAATCCAATTAAATTTTTTAATTCACTTGGTTCGTCACACATGCCGCCGCACGTTTTATCATTAAAAATTGAGGCGCACAGAACCAGAACAGCCTAACCCACAAAAGTTTAATTGTACAGGATGGGCATTTCAAGTTTTGACTGTTTATCATTTTTTTTTCTTATTAGGCATAAGCATATTACTAGCATAGAGTTGGGCCACTTAGGTTCTGTAATTATATATTATAACCACAATGCCAAATACCATTATGTGCTGCTATCTAGTAAATAATTGTTTTATGTTATAGGTCATTGTGGATTTCAAATATATAAATGTGAAATGTTTTATAGTATAAAACAAAATTTGATTTTTGTGGGTTAGATCTTCTGGTTCTATACGCTTCAATTGAGGTGTCCATCAATCTTTTATGAAACATCAATCCGCCACCCCTCTGTAATGGTACCGAGCTTTCAGTAAAAAATTCTATGTACAAAATAATCGAAGCTATAATTGTAAACGAAAATTTTAAAGGCGAAGATGTACTATTGCCACATATCCCAATGACTCCAACCGATATGCCATTCAAATTCTAACGTTTACAGTTTCCGGTGCGACTGGCTTTTGTAATTATCATCAACAAAGCACAAGGACAATTACAATAAGTGGGTGGACTGTATTTTGAAAATGAATGCTACTCACATGAACAGCTATAAGTGGTTTGCTCACGCGTTAAAAAAAAACCTTCTGATTTATTTAGGTACGTACAAGAAAAAGAAAATTTTGTAATCCAAATGCACTTCAATAAACAGCACTTATAATTAAATATTCGAATTGTCAGATTTTTAACGGGCAACGTCGGGTGTCACTCGCTAATTGATCATCGCTACATCACAAAACTATATAAACTTGAAATTTGACATGGTGATCTCTCCAATACTCAGTAGGTACGTGCAATAAGAAAGAATTTTAATGAATATTGGAACCGACAATGACAGTAATTTAGAAGTAATTCAGTGTACAACCAATACTACCATACCAATTAATTTGAACTTTTATTTTATTTGTTTTATAACCAACAGTTACTCCAAACTTGGCTTTAAATAGTGTAAGGCCGTGTTTTCCAACCAGGGGGTCACGTAAGTCAAAAATGATAAAAATGCAGATTTACAAAATGTGCCTTTTTATTTATAACTTTTTATTGAACAAAAAAAAAGTTGCTTAATTTATAGTTCAACATCTGAAACACATAAAAGTAAGTTATTTACTAGTAATAACAAACGATTTCTGTATTTAGTTTTTATTTTCACCATGGATAAAAATTCTATTCCACATAAATAAGAAGTAGCGAACGGAATCAACATTTTCAATGCCTCTGTTACCAAACTTCCAAATTAATTTCATCGGGCAAGCCAAAACTTATTTAAATCTTGAGATGAAAATTCTAGTTGTAATGTTTGATCAGCTGATAATTCTTTAAGTTGGCTGTGAATCTCAACTGGTAATTTGGCATCTGCAACAATATTTTCATCAAATGGATTAAGAGAATTGTTTATTGGTTTATTTGTTACATTACATGTACTCATATGACAACAATGACTTCTCAAATGATGGATTTTTCATTTTTTTTGGAGGAGGGTTCCAATATTTTTACTACCATGTATTTCAAATGTATTTAATTCACAAGATAATAATTTTAGTAATAATTAATTTTATAGTATTAGATAGATCGATAATGGATTATATAAATAATCCTGGCAAATGTTTATGATATTAAATTTGAATGAATAAAAGTATTAAGCAATACATTTTTTCTGAATATGTTATAACTTAGGGAGATTCGAACATTCACTATTTCTTTTTTTGGTTCATTATTGTTATGGGGCACTCATACAGTGTTTCTTCAAATCTTACTCTATCTCTTTGACGTACATAATTATGAAGAATGCAGCAAACATAAATAATTGCTGCACAAAATGAAATGTTCATACCAAGTGTTCTATGAAATATTTACCATTTATTAGCCATGATGCCAAATGCGCACTCGACCATTATTTTGATCAAAGCGTGCGCAGACATTACTCACAGAGTAACCATATATAACATATCAACATTTAATGTTAACATTAAATTTGGTTGGAATAACTCTTAAGTTTTAACTTAATAATTATATTTTTCCAATATCCTTATACATTTATTTACTGTTTACGGAAGTTTCGAATTGATTAAAATATTGAATATTTTGAAGTAGGAAAGGTTCACAGAGTAGTCAAGTGCCTACTCTTATTACCCTGTATGCACAGTGTGCAATGCACACTTACGTTTCAGACCCTAGTGAACTGATAATTATAAATTTTTTTGTCTATACAATAGAACCTCGATTTTCCAAACCTCTGTTATACGAACCCTTTATTACCCGAACGCATTACATACATTTTTGTATGTCTATAAATGTTTTGTACATAATCGAAACGGTCGGCAACTGATTTTATCATTATCTTAATGTATTATAAACCTATAGCTAAAGGTCCATCACCTGCTGAAGAATTTGCTGCATTTTAAACTGATCTTGAGTGCAGGCTCGCTCATACCTATTTGGCTATTTATGTTATACAAACAAATTTTTTGATCCCCCCTCCTCCCCAAAAATAAATTTCAATCGCTGGCCATAGTTTTGCTTAACTTTAAAAATGTGATTAAAATTATTTTTAGTTAATGATTAAAATATATTTATACTTTGTTTACAATAAATTATCATTAAGATGATTTTTTTGAAGGTTTGCTTTAAATTTTCGGCCGTCAATGTTTTTTGAACACCTTGCACATCTGGTTAGCGCGAATCTGCTCGAGTAATGTGAAAAACAGGGTGAATGTTACCCAACAAAATTACTTTTTCATATAACTTTGAAAGACTTATCAGCAGAATTAAATACAGCAAATTATAAGAGACAAACATATTTCAAGGTCAAAAAAAGTTGAATAAAAAGTCCATAACTTGTGAGTTCTGTACTAGTATGCATTATACTCATTAGTGTCATTAATAAGCAAATTCTTAATCATTAACTAACATATAATGAATTATATGATTTTTTATACATACAAGTACATACAACTCAATACAAGTATAAAGTACAAATTATTTTCTTATACATATGTTTATAATTATAATTTATGAATAGGTATCTATAACCAACTATCCATAACGTAATTTATTGCATATATTCTTACTCAGTAATCAGTACTCACGTCTCACTTTCGTGATCAAATAATTATACAATAATATAAATATTTAAATCGACTAAAAACTAATGATTTCTCATAATGATTAAAATATTTTTTTTAAATGTTACAAAATGAGTACACTTCCCACAGAACAATTAAATATATTCAGCTGTAGTCCATTAATGAATTCACATTGAAAATGTTGGAAGGGGCCTTCGTCACTCACACCTTTCATGTTCTTTTATTTTTATCCTATTCTAAAAATAAATAATCAAAGTTTATGTTATTTATCATTTGTATTTTCATACGAAATTGAATAGGTAATATTTTATATAATATTTAACACCATTTAATATATACATACGAGTATAATATGTAAAAGGTACCTTTAATTTTAATATAAATAGTATTTATATTCAATGGTGATACGATGTTCATATGTGGTAGTCGCATAAACCGAATTCTGGCAACCAGTTGTAGTCTACCGCTTCTAAACAATATGACTAATAAAAGATAACTAATGAGTACCTAAAAAACCAACACATTGTAGACTTACGATGGTTGAGACTTCACGGCCGAGTGAAATATAGGGACGGTTGAACGATATTGCTATGTTGCAGTCCCTATTTTTCATAAAAATTCGTACTATACATTTTTTAATGTACAATGATATGATACAGAGTCCCCCTCTACCCCACTTCCATATGATTATAATTTTTAGTGCAATATCAGTAATAATTTTTAGTAAGTGTTCTTTTTTATTTATCAAATTGTACATTACATTTAGGTAACTACTCATTTGTTATTATTTTTTAAATTGAAAATATACTTATGCCTTGTATAAATCTGAAAATTATTTACAGATTATTTATTTTAATATAGGATATATAATTTAAAATATAATATATGCATTTTTCTCATCAGTTGTCTTGTAGTTTAATTCAGACGTCTTATTTATTAGTGTTTAGTAGATACACACTTTCTCGAATCCACAGTGTACATTTCCAGTTTCAGACTAAACTTTTTTTATCGGGGCTTACTAAAAAAAGGGACTGCTAAGTTGGTCTTTTAAATCAAAGTGCAATTTCTCTTGAAAAATAAAAATTGGTTAATTTGTATTTTTAAAGACAATTGATATATTTACAGTAGTAGACCAAATATTTTTAAAAATTAATTTGAACATACAATATTCTAACTATTGTAAAAAAAAAAAAAAAAAATCAAAGTAGGGCGAGATTACATTAAAATGTTATTACATTAAACTAGACCTATATATGACCGATTAAAATTTGGAGAAAATAAAAAATGTTAAGTGCTCATAAACAGCAAAAAATTCGTTAAAATATTTCGAAATCATAAAATTCTAATATAAATATTCAGTAAATATTTCAAATTGCTGCGATTTATATTAAAATAACAATCAAATAGTATCATACAATCAAATTTCGTTGAAGTACCCGATTTTGTCAACATTTCATTTTCTAACACTTACAAAACTTTATTGTAATTTTTTTTTCTTTGCTTCATAGAAAATCTTATAAACAATCTTTTATTCAAGTTACAAGTTTTAAATATTGAAATTAAAATTATTAACTACAAATATATTGCGGATTTTCGTAATTTCAATTAATAAAATTTTTTTTTTTTGAAATTAAGCTCAATTTTTTTTTTCCGTCCAGTAAAAGATATCAATGAGGGACGTTTAATTTTCAAAAGTGTTTGTTGAAACAAAATAATTTGAATGTCATTTTACAAAAAAAAAAAAAGTCAAAATCTATTTCTCATTCATGTTTTAATTTTTCATTGCTGAAATGGGCAATAATTATTGGAGGGCTTGAGAGTTTGAGAAACCAGCGGGAAAACGCCCATTAAGCCTCCCTCATTGATAAATTGTCAATAACTAATATTTCATTTATATTCAGCTCGATCAACCAAAAATTGAAATAACTGTTCACTCATAATGCTGCTAGATAGCACTTCAGATTATTATCAAAATTCGGATAAGAGCCGTATAGAATTATTATTGTTAATGTTATCGTGCTTGTTATTTGTTATGTAAACACACGGTATTATATGGAGCGTATATTTCCCGTCACGAAAATGACAGCTCAAACATACTGTTCGCATGTTTCGTCTAAACTGTTTGATTTGTCACACCAATGAGTTGATAACAGTGTTCGTTTTCCGACAACAGTGTTAGTGTCGATTAGACGGCGCCAAATCCATCACAAGATTGAACAATGTTACCGAATTTCAGTCCGGTTGTCCAGACCCTTTTTGGGACATTGTTCACGTGGGGTTTAACGGCCATTGGGTCTAGCCTAATACTAGTGTTTAGCGGCACACAAGTAAGTTTGGCGATTTTTTTCTTTTTGTTTTCAATTTATGTTCTTGGAAACATTAATACTAACAAAATTCAACTTTTGTAGAGGAAGCTGCTGGATGGTAGTTTGGGGTTTTCAAGTGGCGTTATGATAGCTGCCTCATATTGGTCGCTGTTAGCGCCTGCAATCGAACTTGCTGCGCAAGACAGTGCTTACGGGGAAAATGGGCAGTTTTCCTTTGTACCAGCGATGGTCGGCTTTTTGTTTGGCGCTTTTTTCGTTTACTTGTCAGATGTAATTATATCTTCATATGAAATTGATGTACTTAATTTATTAATACCAGGTAATTGCATTTTATTAAAAGTTATTTTACTATTTATACTATTTTAAATCAAGATTTTCTTATGTAAGTCATTGTTAAAACTTGATGCAACTTCAGTTTAATTAAAATTTAAAATATTTAAATTGTAATTTTTATCTATAAGTTATAGAAAGCAGATAACTACATTTAAATATTTATACCAAATTATGTTACATATTTATTTATAATGATAATTAATTATTCTGTATTGAAATTAAAATAATTTATTAGCATTTAATGATTTTCTTAAATTTAATATTACTGTCTTTTCTACAACAAAATACATATTATAGCCTTATAAAGTGATACTTTAAGTATTATAGAATTTGTTAAAATAATACTTTTATTATTTTGTTATTATAATTAAATAATACATTTAAAAATTATTTCTATGTATTTTAAGGAAATATCACTTAATATATCATATAATAATATAACATATTATAATATATCATTTAAGGAAATTTTTTAAGGAAAAATCTAATTTTTTATTTTTATTTTATTTTTTTAGAAGCAAATCAGTGTTCAAAAAAGAAGTTTAAATGTGATACCAATACAGATAGCTTATATCTTAGAAATAACCAACAGTCAATTGGAATAAACAATGGTATAATAGTTAAATATTTAGTTATTTAATAAATTTATAAAAATTTTTATCAAAACTAAATGTGTTTGCCGTTTATGTGTGTATATTGATGCTAATTTCTGGAATCTATCAAATAATTTGAGCTCTTCTTTTTTTGATAAGACTATAAATTAATTTTTTCATGTATTCATATATAAGTATAATAATATACCTATAATAATACCAGAAAATTATTCTTCTGAATAACATTTAAATTATAGAGTATCAATTTATTTTAATTTAATAATCTTTTATAATATTTTACATGTATGGATTAATTTATTAATAGATTTATAAATTAAGATGATGTCGAAGTTAATTCAGCTAATTTAGTTTATACTTCTTAGTTGCATTGTTTATTTTATGATTTTTAAGAGAAAATATTATTATTTTATTTGCTTAATTGTATTAACTTTTAATATAATATGCGCAACTATACTTTGAGACCAACAAATGTAAATTTAATCAGTGTCTATATAAGATTCATGTTTAAACCTTGATTTTATTGGATTGTCCTATGACATGCCTGTGTTATTTATTTGATTTAAAGTGCAGTAGAACCCCTCTAATCCATCACCCTTTGGGACTAAGATTATGGTTGAAATGCTGAAAAGGTCAGATTAACAGAATATAAAAAAAAATGTATTTTACATATATGATATAAAAAATTTGAGTATAAGCATAATACAAATGTATGTATATGTATATATGTGTGTGTAGTGAACATTTAAATAAAAAAAGTCAGTTATAGACGTGTAGACAAGCGATAAGAAATAGTAAACTGGCAATTAGTTTTATATATTTACTATAAGTTGAAAAATTCAAATTAATTTTTTAAGTATTTTTTTCGATAATACTAATGTTGGATCAACCAGAGTAGTGGTAGACCAGCTGAAGGCGGACAAGAGTGGTTCTACTGTATAGTGTATAATAATATTTACAAAATTATTTTCTATGTAATTCAATTTATCTAATAGAAAATAAAATTAGTGTGCTATTAACATATATAAAATAATGGGTTTCATCATGAAATTGTAGGTAATTATATATATATATATATATATATGTTTAAAAAAATAAATACATTTTTAATGTTAAAATAACACCATCATCTGAGTCATTAATCATGAACTTAATTTAAAATATGTTTGAATGTATCTGACATTGTATAATTTTAACTTAAGTATGTATATTAAGTTTACCTAAGTTAATGTATAATAGTTTTATATTTTATATTTTAACTATAAATAAAATACATATAATATTATAAATTATTTTTTTGGAAAACCAGAGTTATATTTTCACAAAAGCTATTAATTTTCTCTTATTTATTTTTAATAAAATATAATTTTTGAATATTTCAGTATAAGAAAAATGTGTAGTTTATAATTACCAAATACACATTTAAAAAATATTTATACTGATAAGAATAATTTTTACAATGGATCAATTTTTAATTATTAATAAAAAACTAGTATTTTTTGTTATTTTTATTTAAATGTCTGATATATAAAATATAATTTTTAACAATATAACAAGATGACACATCCAGAAATTATTAAATATTTTATATATAGCATTCATTTTTATTTGCTAATACTAATTCAAACCTTATAAAATAATAATTACATTTTTTTATAAATCTGAAGTACTTAACTTCTTTTTATTTTATATAAAATATTGTAATAATGAAATGAGCTTTTAATTATTATATAATATTAATTATATTATTTAATTTAAATTTATATTTGTTAATGTGTATTGTAATTATGGATTATCTTATCAAATTTAATTACATTAATTTTCTTATAGATATTTTAATTATATATATTTTTTAGTGATATCAGAAGCTCGTCAACGTTGTTATAAATCTACTCATCCACCCCCAGAATATACAGAAATAGAATGCGATAATGAAGTTAAAGCATGCAGTTGGAAACGTATACTTTTACTTATAATTGCTATTACTGTGCATAATATTCCTGAAGGTTTAGCTGTTGGAATAGCTTTTGGGGCAGTTGATTCTTCTCCATCTTCTACTTTTAATAGTGCCAGGTAAGTTATTTTTATGATATTATAACAGTAAATGTTGGTTGCTTTAAAGATTTATGTAATTTATAGACTTACAAAATTCCGATATTAATTTCAAAGATATTTAACCTATGAATCAATACTATATTGAATAGCTTTTTAAATGAAATAATTCATCCCTTTTTAGCATATTCATTTGCCAAATCAGTTCCTAGTAAAAATAACTAATGTTAGCTACAACTTTTAAATAGTTATACTATTGTTATTATACATAATTTTCACAATCTTAAAGAATGTATTGGTTTTTAAATATTTATTTAAATTTTTTTTTTTTATTTACTTGGGTATTAATTTGTACAAAAATTTTCATTCTGTAGTGTTTAGATAAAAATTTGACTCAGTACTCTAGATGGATCATTCATTTATTTTCTTAATGCCTTACCTTAGTGAAAAAAACAAAAACAAAAACTTTTGCATAGTGTTCATTTTGTTCTTCAACTATTTATATTTATTTTGATAGAAATAGTATTATCATGTTTTAAAGTTGAACATTTTATATAACACTACTAGTTTACCTTATGCTGAAAATGTATCATGGACAATTTCTTAATCATAAAAAAATCTGTAGTATGACAAAATGTATTTATTTTTATTTTTTATATTTACTAGTATTATTGTGGCTATTTTCCTGGGTAATTCTTAAAATAAAATGTATATAATTCAATGATATTGTACCACAATAAAATACCGGTGTCCATGACCAGAATGTTCTCAGATTTTTAAAATAACTGCTGCTAGATAGCACTACAGTAAAATATTAAACTTATTCAGCAAAATATTTAAAGTCCGATGATAAATGATAATGAACTTGTAGTTTTTGCTATTGTGGATTATTACTGGAATAACATAAATTATTACATTAATATTATTATTTTTTAAGTGATTGAACATTGTATAAGGTTGTTTTAGATGTATATATGTACATAAATATATACATTTAAAGGTAAAAAAATTTACAATTTATGATACTATAAATGGTGATACTATCAATATTCGTTAGTAAATATCTAATTATAACTATATGAGTCTAGGTCGTTGTCAAAGGTCGATTCATTGATTAATTTTCACCTTTAATAATCAAATAATTAGTTATTCTTTATGTAATCCATTATAATTTTCTAACCCTAATAAATGATAAATTAAATTATATTATATTTTAGAGTATTGTTTTTTGATAGCGAGTCGAGTCGAGTTTAAAATTGGAGTACTTTAAAAATGCCGAGCAATTGAAAAAAAAGTTGTGTGTTCGAAAGAGGTCTAGTATTCGAGTAAAAAAATGAAGTAGTTGAAAAAAATCGATTACTCAAGAAAAAATTCATTGTTATCGATCAGTATAAAATTTCGTTATCACGATAGTAAAATATCAAAGCAATAACAATCTATTGTTATTAATTAAAACCATCAATCTTTCTGACATTTCTATCGGAAATATTTGGATCCCATTTATTTATAGTCTTAACGTTTATTTTACAATAAAGTAGTAAAATAAACTGGAGTATGTACTTGATTGAAATCGAGTAAAATCGAGTACTTATATTTACGAGTACAAACATAATTTTGTTGAATCGATTGGAGTATTTGAACGCATCTTGAAAAATTTTACAAGTCGAACTCTTCCAACTCTATTAATTAGTTACATATTACGTAGGTATTAAAAGTTTAACGTTGGTGTAGCAAATTTAAAAAGTAAAAAAAATTATCTGACAATGATTTATAATAATCAAAATTTATATTCTTTAATAATTTCAAAATTAATACATTTTTATCTTGAATCATGTATTTAGATGATTCAATCATCAACAGTTAATTTCTAAAAGCCAACTATCTATATTGTTTTAGTTATTTTTTTTTTAAAATATATATTTTTAATTATTTTTGTCTTAATTTTACTTAAATATAAAGCATTATATGTTATAACTGTAAAATAAAAGTTACACAATTATTTACTTGTCACAACTTTGAAAATTTCCCATTTTATTAAGGTGAATATATTACATCGAATTAATATTTTAATACCTAATAGATAATAAAAGATCATTAAAGCATGTCTTCTAAAGAACTTTTATAAACTATTTTTTTTTATCACAGTAAATAATTATAAGAAAATTAAAAATGACTATACAGTAGATACTCATTTTTGTCATATATTTTTATAAATAATGTTATTATTAAGTCCCTTGCGTACAGTGTCAATGTACACCCAGTTGTATAATGTTTCCTAGGATTTATTTTGGTGATAAAATATAGTACATACCATAATTATTTTTGTTGTAGCAGTTTCAAGATTTATAGCAATGCAAAGGGGGAAAATATAAAACGTATTGAAGAAGATATACGGGTGGTCTGTTCTTGGAAAAAGGGATGTCTCAATATCCCCCAACATTTAATCATGTCTAATAAATGTACCCAAATTCCGAAAATGGCCTACTACCAAAAGTTGTTTATTTTTTCACGTTTATCATTTATTAATTCTTATAAAATATAGAGTACAACATAGTCACACTTAGGGTTTATTTCACTTAAATCTAAACTTTATATAAATTACAATCATAATAGTAAATACGAAGAAATACTCTTCGTTAACACTTTTTTTACAATCTATTTATATTTAATTTAAAAGTTCATATACATATGTGACAATGTTTAATATTATTTTACATGTTTTAATAAATTGTCTTCACAAAAAATGATTCATAACCGATTCAATTTTTTATGAACTTATATAATACCAATTTTTCTTGTTCATGTTACAGAGGAGATAAAACATTCCTTGCAAAAATGTTCATTCAAAAATATGATTCTTTGAGATTGAAAATTGCAATGAAAAAATTTTGCCATTTATTCTGATAACCCATTCAAATATTTCATAGTTTACAGAATTGCATATAAAGCTAAAAAGCATTTTTTTCGTTATTCGTGTATGATCATTTAAAAGGTAAAACAGGTTTATTGGCGTTTTGTCAGAGCGCCAGCAGGTGCACTTATACGTCCCCCACTAATTTACTCTCTACCTCATAACCTGCTGTCCCGACAAGATCCATTATGTGAGTTTTGTACGCACCAGTGTATAAAATATAAATTTGTATGTATATAAATAAATAAGTATTAATAATACATATATATGTGTGTGTGTGTGTGTATGTATGTATGTACTTTAGCTATGTCTGGAATGCCACTTCATACCTCATTTCATCACGTTTTTGACCACCATATTCTTCCTTTTAGTAACTGCCGCGTACTATACCTTTTGTCTGTTCTGCTTTCTCCAAATCGTATAAAAATAAAAAATTAATGAATAATTAATATGGATGATACACCATGATGACGGAATGTTCAACATTACAAAATTAAAACGGTTTACTGGTTTCTTTAACTTTTTTTTATCAACAGCGATTTTGTTTTTAGCAAAGTTTTGGTAATTGTATATTTTTTTTAAAAAACGAATAAAGTAATCGCTTTTATTATGTACATTTAAATGCATTCAAAAACAATCTCTGCTTTAGATACGGATTTGTATTTTATAATATCTACCATTTGGAATTTACATATTATACTTTGATTATATACCTACTTTATTGTAAGAGTAATTGAACACGTAATGTTAAGCTTTTTTTGTAATTATAAAGTTTTATTAACATTCACAAGGCTTCAGGTAAACTGTGTGATTATAATGAAATATTTTTCGTTAAAAATAAATTCATGCAGCTCTGTATCATAAGGAAATTTAACTCAGATTATATAGGGTCTATAGAGGGTCTATAGAAAAAGGTCGATCACAAATTTTACATCTAAATCTATAGTATTTAAGAGCTATAGAAAAGTAATTATAATTGTATATACAATGAAAACTCAATAACTCGAAAAGGTCCGGGGCGAAAAAATTCGACTTGCAGAAAATAATTCAATAAGTCGAATCAGTCGGGGGCAAAAAAAAATTCTAGGCGTCGAAAATATTTTATTATACAATACAAAGACTTTACTTTATAATTTTTTTCATTTACTTATACTATGAATAATATATTTATGTATGTATTATAATTTTCAAAAAATTATTCTATAGTAAAATAAAAATATAAATAATAAATAAAATATTAAATAAAGTAGGATTATTTTTAGAAGAAAAGATATATTTTTGATTGTTTTTTATTATATGATATGGATGTATCTGTAAAGTTTTCAATTATGTTGAGCGCGTAAAAAATCTCTTCAGAAATTTTTGGTTGTTTAGGAATAGATTCGTATTTATGTACTACTTGTAAACCATCTAATGCCGGGCATGACCGTTTTCGATCAAAAACGTACCCTTCCCTTTTCGGCCAATTTACTTTTCGACCAAATTTAAAATAGGTTGATTCTCTTTTTGACCTAAACAAATATGTATATAATACATTTAAAATAATAAAATAATGATGTACAATTTTTATCAATAATTATTAAAATATTTATTTAAAAAAGAACGATATTTTGTATCTAGTTTAGATCTCTTATCGTAATGAAAATTTTTTGCATTTTTTTTTCCGGCTCCGCTCCAAGGGGAATTATAGTCTAAGTCTAACCTAGTTTTTATATAAATCTTGATACTGTGGCAAATGGGATTATGCTTTTTATACGAACCTAAAACCTCGCTACATGAGTAAAACCCTGAATCGTCATTAATATATAATATAATAGTTTCCATCATAATCAAACATTGTATATCATTATTTTATTATTTTTAATTTATTATATAAATTTTTGATTTGGTCGAAAAGTGATTCGGTCGAAAAAGGAAGAGTACGATTTTGGTTGAAAATGGACTCGTCCCTAATGCTTGTGCAAGAATAATTAATAGCAAAGCCAATTTCATATCGTTATCAATATCCGACTACTCCCACCTTAACTCGTTAGGCATTTAAATATATTTATTATCATTATTTATGAATATTCACTATTTATACATACACTTATAATATTATTTCAGTAAT